AGGAGAGGATGGGATAGTTGGAGCGTGTGCCGTGCGTGCGGAAATCGGGGTCCCGAAGCGTGGCCGCTCGCTTTCGGAGGCTGGAGCTGCTCTGGGCGCTTTCGGTGCGGCTGCTGCTGCCGCCGCGGCTGCTCGCGCATTACTTCCCCGGCTCAGCTCCGGCGGGCTGCCTGCGCTCGCAACACACCGGGCGGGTCAAAGGTCACCCAGCCCAGCAACACGGCTCAACCCAGCTTGCACGCCGCCTCCGAAAACAAGACGGTGGCAACCAGCGGGGCGGGGGGGCCGGGAGGCGGGAGGCCACGCCCCCCTCCCCCTCTGATGGGCGTGCGGGGCAACCAATAGGAATTAAGGGGCCGTGATTGGGCCTCCCTCCCTTCAGCTAATCGGAGGAGCAGAAGTGGCGAGCGGGGAGGGAAAGGGTTAATATTTGGGAATGACATCATGAACGCCCCCCAGTTCTTTGCCGTCTCTACCGGTTGCTTTTATTTTGCAGCATCATGCAAATACGTAGCGGTGCTGCGAGCGAAAGGTGTCAACGTGACAAAGGCCATCAGGCGCACTGAAGCGACACGTTCAGCTAATTTACATTTTTTGTCCTTTTTTTTTCCCCCGCTTCATTATAATCCCCACTTCACGCTTATCAATCATCTGTAGTGCATTATCATTTTCTCGGGGGTTGGCTGTTTTCACGTTCTGGCTACTTTTGCAAGTTATTTGATGCTACATTATTTAAATATATTTCACTTAAGGTCCTGAGGTCTCTGTCTTTGTTAGGACACTGCAGCCTTTGTGGTACTGTATGTAGCTACTTCGATATTTAACAGGAGCAACCCTATTGTGTAAAAATGTAGACAAATGCACTGACACTAATCTGTGAGCTGTGAAGTGTTAAACCACTTTACATTATATTTTAAACCGAAGTTAAACCAGTTCGTTTTAAGTTGCGATTTAACAATTAAACAACTGTAACAACGACAAAATACCTGTCAGTGCCATATACTGTACAGCCTACCGCAACAAAAGTATTCTTAATTTTAAAAGTAACACCTACAGACAATGAAGGAGACACGGTGATGTGATTGTAGTTTTAATTTGTATTTCCCGCTCCTGAAGCATCAGACTGCTATTCACTAACGTGGCTATAGAGTCGTACTGACATGATATACTGTACTGTACCCCTAAGTCTTAATGGTTAAAAATGAATGCTTTTTAACGTTTGAATGTAGGTATTAAAACCACTTTGTTTTCATGTTTTGTTGCAGCATTTTCAAAAAGCTGTTTTGGTATATATTTAGTCATATGCTTAATCTGAAGTTATCTGTTGATATTCTGTATAAGATGTGGAAATTTAGTAGGTAGTAAAATGTTGATGGGAAAATGTCCACAGCCCATGTCAAAAGGGAGGCATCTGAGAAACTAGAGACAGCATAAAATCAGTTACTCGTTTTTTAGGCACCATTCATGTCCGTAAATCTACCCGCATGTCCGATGAGGTCTTACTCCATCCATCGCATTCCATCCATTTTCTCACTGTTTCATTCAATTCAGTGTTGCAGGGGAGCCAGAGCCTATCCTGGCAAGCAACAGGCGCAAAGCAGGATGCACTCTGGACCGGACGCCAGTGTATCGCAGAGCATCGCTGTTTGCAATCAACACATCATGTTTAAGGACATCAGCAACAAGTTGTTGAAACGGTTTGATGGATTTTGTATTTAAAAGTGCTTGGGTAGCATTTGTATAGAGTATACTGTACTCTGAATCATATCATTATTTTATATCTTTGATGATTATTCATTATATGTTACATTTATAGTACGTGTTCAGCAATGCATTACAGGTGAAATATCCTGTTTTTTTTAAAGTATATATATATACAGTACTACCCAAAATTGAACTATGATTCAGACTGCTTAATTCTGTTCTTTAAAATGTAAGGAATATCTGAGGGCAAAGTAAAAAAGAGGCATCTGTACTTTGCTGATACAAAGCACTTAACTTGTATGCTATTTATCATTATGAAACTGATGTTGCTTCTTCACTTTTTATGATGTTTTATTATTCTTTTCTGATTTGGATCTTATGAAAGTTAAACATGAATACACTCAAATTTTCTTTATACTATTTAAAGAAAAATATTTCTGGGACATGACCATTCAGTATCTTACCGCAGGGCTATATTACAAGACACAAGTTTATTAGACGCAGTGATCCCTAAAAAAACCCTTGCACACAGTGATTGCATAGAATAGTCAGTCTTGACTGACTTCTTTTCTCCCATATCTTGCTCAGAAACATGTGCACCATTGCAGTTATTCTATCCATTTCAGAAGTCCCACAGTTTTTTGTGTGTCAAATGTAAAAAAGGGTCATAAAGCCCATCTATATTGCTATAGTTAGGGATTGTACTTGAGGAGTAATCTGAGGACTGACAGCTCTTAAAGATTACAAGTCGGTATTGTGATCCAACGGCCAAACCCACTTTGTTAATGCTGTATGCAGAACAGTGGTGCCCCAGTTTGGCGAGGTTTTGCACGCTGTGCCTTATGCTGCTTCTCCACCCTGTCACGCTTTCTTCTGGGGGAGCAACTATTGCGAAATGGCGTAATTAATGAAAGTGAGACCGAAGAGAAGAGCAAAACCCCATAAGGAAAAGTGCATCAATAATGGAGCATCGCAGTAATGAATAATGGAAAGCTTGCTTGAGGCTGAGGTGCAGTACATCACAACTTCCAAAGTGATATGTTAAATTGATTATTGAAATGCCTTCTGAGCTTCACAAGGGATTATAACAGTCCGATGAGGTATGTGACAGTCGCCATAGGATCACTTGCACCTCTAGAAAGGGATAGGCTTTTAAAAGGGCAGAGGCCTTTTGAAAAGACAGACATTTCCACAGGTCACATGTCACACCTTTGTGGTGCGAATCAGTGCATCACAAGTCAGCAGTTGTTGGTTTTGCTCATCCTAAGAGAACGACACTTCAGTGTGTCCTCGATATCTATCATTTCCTTCTCCTGTCAGTTACACAGTTCCTCTTTTCCCGGGACTATGCAAGACATCTCTGCAGGTGTTCAATGAAATTCCTATAGGTATGCCTACACAGTATGCAGTGCCAATTCTGAAGGGATTTTATTTTTTGCATTGACGCTAGTTTTTTGTCTTTGGGAATTGCAAAATAACTAAACAAAAGAGCTCATAGAAGGAGAAGACACTTTGCCAAGCTATGTGTAGATGGAATATTTTTTAAAAACCTGAGTAACTACAGAAACTGTCTTGTCAGTTCTCAGTTCGTACCTTGGTAACCTGTCAGCTGGTTCTTCATTTACATGTGGAGCTGTTAATCAGTCAAGGTTTTAACATAACACTTACTGACATTCCACTCCATCATAAGATTTTAACATTTCATTACTATGAATTTGAGGAGTAAATCTTAACTTTGCAGCACTGTTCATGGGTTTGTAAGGAGGAGCTGTAATGAATTTTGGTTTTCTTCTGGAATAAATCTTTGGTTCAGCCGCCATGCTGGTTTGTGTCTTGTATTTTAACATTTTGAAACTGCATGACTGCATATTCTGAAACGATGAATTATTTACATTGATCAATTTCAATTGTAGAGGTTACTTTACTTAATTTCATTTTAATTTTATTCAGATTCTTCTTCCAGCTATGTAATATTTGAAGTAAAAGCCTTTTCTAACATTCAAGTGTAAATTTTAAATTGCCATTTTTTTTATTTTTCTGTACTCTTTGAAATAAGGCAATTGTCCACTATGGTATAGATTTTCACACAATATGTCTACTTACATGCAGGGCCAGAAATTCATCAAATCCCTCATTGCTTGCTTTGCCCACTATGTCTGCGATTAGCACAACAGTTGCAATTTAAAAGCTGTTTTCTTTCAGCAGGATGACATTGGCGTTCTTATCTTACCTTACACTCTTCCCCCTTTTAGTGCATATAGCTGGTAATTCAAATCTTAAACTGTGAGAAAATTGCTTATAGCAATCACTGACAGCTGAGACATCACTAAAGAAATTCTTTCATCTCCTAGCTCCAATTTAGATCAGTCATTAAGCCCGAGAGAGCCCAGGCTGTCAGAACATTTACTAAATCACTTTCTTAAAACACACAAAAACCTTATCTTCTAACTAAAGTTAGATTCCATTTCTTTTACAAATAATATCTTCCAATAATGTAACACAAGTCATTGACTGTCTTACAGTATTGGCAGCATGATTTGGAGGTTTTTTCATTTTCAGTCAGGTTTTTTTTTAGAAGGGGTAAGGTCAATGCTTGTTTGACATACATCTGGCAAGAACTGGGATTCTGCATTATGCAAATTCGATTTTTGAACATTTTGAATGAAGGACAAGATACTTATTTCAGAGATGGACATTTGAAAAATAAGAAGCTAAAATTCACCCTGGCAATGTGTGTAATCACACTGACACACACATTGAATTTTCTATTCTGATTTCTGTTGATAGAAAGAAGTGAGAAACGTTGTTCTGAATAATAGCAGCATAAGATGTTCATAACATCACAGGTTCTAAAAGGAGCCACAAACATGCACACCAAAGTTATTATATTTTCCAATAGGATCATTACAGATTTTGAGGATTTGTCCAGCTAGATAAGATAAGTCAAACAGCTGAATAAATGCAATGATAGTTAAAGTTAATGGAGGAAATATCCCTACCAACCCTGACTTGCTGGTTAAACATGCGGGTTTCTAAGCTCTGAGACCTGGTGCCAAAGGAGTAGCTGAGCACTAGGCTGTAAA